TTTTTTTTCAGATTGATTCGTTCGCGATGAAAGATGACGAGTGTGGCCGGCCCCCAGTTGGACAGCTTGGCCTCCAGCGAGCGCATCACGGAACTGTTCCCCAAGTGCCGTCCGAGGGACAGCCTCAGTCTAAGCCTCAATGTGGCAACCAGTCGCCTCAATGAGCACAACAAGATCGGCCTGATGGACAGCAAGAAGGGACAGGGGCTGGGTCAGACTCGGGACAGCGAGAGGTACGAGAGATTTTCTTGTGTTGATTATGGATTGTGAGAGTACTGAACCAGTTCCCTATAAGATCATTCCTAAGAAATCTTTCACTTAAAAAAAAAAAAGGATCCACAAATTTGTGTGACTTTTTAAGTGTACATATATACCTCAGCTAAAAATTTGCCCCTCTTTAATTAAACCCTGCCATATGGGAGGGCCGCATTGATCGGGTCAATTTTCTGTTAGTTTATAGACTCGTTAATTGAGTGCGAAGTGCGCATGTCAGACAATATACTAATTTGAATGATCTGTGATGTTTGCCCAATATATATCCACAAGTAGTTACTGCTGACATTTTGTTGTTTCCCTCTACTGTTTTTTTTTCCTAATTTCCTTGGGTCTCTACTAGTTTTTAGTACCCTTGCTCCCGCTTGTGCATGTGAACAAGAAGTTTAGTTGTTTTTTTATAACCATTGCTATCATCCTGCTTGAGTGAGCTAAAATAATTGTATTTTTACGGTTTAGTCAAAAATTAACTTTTCCTCTAGTTTTACTCTGCTTTGTGTATGAAATGTTTTCAATTTATGTACTGAAATGCACTAGCTCCCTCACATACACCACCTAAATAGGATAACATGAAAGGTTGGAGTTTGGGTTTGATGTTGTGCTCATCTCTTGATGTTTACTCCTTCTGGTGTCTGTTTCATCTATCCATGTCGTAGATAAACGGCAGCGCTTTTTTGATGTTTCTTCTTTCCCTCTATCTCCGCCGAATCTGCCACGTCTTTCAAATCTTGGTGGAACCTTTATACAGTGCATGTTACCTGCATGCCCCATGCCGCCCCCTTTCACTTCTATTTCTTTTCTTAAACTAAACCTGTAGACCTCTGCTCTCGTCCCGTAACTTTTGCCTATTAGACTCTAGACATAGGATTCGAAAGAACAATATGAGTATGACTAGTCACTTAGGGTCTTGAATTCTCCTGTGGTCAACAGGCTGGATTGCGATGAAGAGGCGGATGACGCAAGTGCCAGTGCTGTAGACTCATCGGACGACGAGAGCAATGATAGTGATGGCCCGGGCCCAGCAGCTAGCCTGCCCCAGGCACAGGCTCAGGGCCAGGCTCAGTCCCCGCTGGGCCAGGCTAGCCATGAGAACCATGGCGAGGGAAGCTCAAGCGCCTACAAACTGCGGGACTCCAGGTGATAAAGAATGACCATCATTACCTTTGGGGACTTTCATGTTTCATCCCCCCTCCTCTTCCTTTGTACACGTTCATAGTGGTGCAGTTACAAGAATGGGAAAAGTCATTGTTACCAACAACCACCATTTCTAAGATTGCTGTAGGACTGGGAAAATTGTCGTTGTTGATTAAAGTGCAGAAATAAGTAGGGATTGAAGGAAATTTAATTAGGTTAGCTATAGACAAAATAGCTAATGCAATAAGCGCACAGACTGTGCATCACTGCATTGTAGTTCATTTCCAATAAACATATTTTTAGAGGCACTAGCAGTTGTAATACTCAAATCGTTTGAATAAATTACTGTATAAGGTTCCCTCCGAGACATTAGTTGATAAAATCCTGTGTGCAAAGAAGTTCTCAAGTTTTAATCTGTAATGTGTTGTTAAGACTTTTTTGATTATTACTTTTGGTTAAAAACATTGGCAGCCAGGTATAGATTATAAATCTTTCCTACAGAACATAAAATGATTTAGTGTAGTGGATCTCATTTATTTCATATGCAATACAACATTTGCAATTTCAGTCTTACTAGAATACATTTTAACATTGTTTCTTATCTTGTTTTCAGAATTATTGAAATAGCTGGAGGAAGGGAAGTATTTTGCCAGAGTCGGAGCAAGCCTGGTCGCAAGGGACGCCATGTTCGTGAATCTCGAGAGCGAGATGACTCCAATTCTAGCAAGACCATTAAGACTGAAACTTCAGAAAGGAGAGTGTGGGAACTACGATCAAGGTCAGTTTTTGTTTTGTGTTAAATCAAATATTTCTTTGAAGCTACTTTTATAGTAAAAAATGTATTTTCAATGTATCTTACTTTTTGTTTTCACTTCCAGATGTGGAGAGGCTAAAAGACAAAGAAATTCTAGAGATGTTACCGACATGTTTTCCTCTGATTCTAGAGGAAGGCATCGTGGGGGCATTCCATCTCGTAAGTGTGAGTGACATTCCTTTCTATTAATTTTTTAGAAACCTAAAAAATCTTGATATTGTATGCATCATTTGGAAATCTCTACAAATTTAATGTTTCATATGAATTTAACCTTTTCCAGTAAGTGGTAATGCATCTTACGAGCCAGTTCCAACAACGGCTCCAACCCTAAATATGGGAGGTGGAGAGGTCGTTGTTTTTGATGATATTGGCGAAAATTGGCGAGGGAATGATTCTTCTTCCGCTGCTTCCACACCTAGTCCACCAGGACATCATAGAGCACCTTCTCATTACTTTAAGGTGACCTGTCAATTTCTTCCTTGAAATGCATTGCTGCTCCTCTCTGTGAGCTTATAGGCAGAATGAGGCAGTTTCCTTTTGCTCACTCTCTTTCAAGTTCTACCTCTCTTGAAATATACTTGTAGACAATTACTTAATAAGATTCTATTTATCTGTATTTCAAGATTCCTATTTTTTTCTCATATCTGTTTTACCTGTAGTATGAAGTCCCATTCTCTATACTGCTTTCCAGTGAGTAGTGTGTAGATGCTTTGCTTGGTATCTGCAGGTGTCAACATCGGTATCTGATGCTGAAAATGACTCTCTCTCGCCTGACCGCGAGGATGGACCTGATGAATCAGATGACATTCCAAGTAGCCGAAATGTGCTTCCAAGCAGTCTCTCTGGTAGCCATCTTGCTGGAAATCGTTCAGCAGCTAGTCGAAAAGGCTCTCGAATCATTGGTGGTCTCCCCATAGCAGACTACGAGGGTTCACCAAAACGCTATGGTCCTCGCCAAGGAGAATCAGGAGGCTCGCATGGACCATCTCATCCAACTTTACCTTCTGCTCACAGTCTCCTCAGCTCCCCTTCCCTTCTCACACCTCGTCCTGGCTTTCCTCAGGTATAAAAGCTTGCCTGCGCACCCTTGCTTGTGGCCAAAGCAGTTCTTTCCTTTTCTACCATTACTTAGAAACTTTTATTATGTCAGTTCATCTATTACACCTGATATTTTGTGTTTTAACAGAGGGTCCTACCAGATTGTAATTTATCACCACCAACAAGCACTGCAAGTACAACCAACTCAACCTTTGATTACTTGTATGAATTTTCGGAAACAAGGAAAGTCCTAGAAGAATTTTTCAAACCTTCCTCAGACATTCCGAACAATGAAGATAATTCCCATTTTCAGGTAAAGTAATATTTAAACTTCTGTGCGCACTCCCAAAGTGTTGTTTACTTCAGTACATCAGTGAGATTCAGACATTATTCTATATCAATCTTTTGTGGGAAAAGCAATACACAATTCTAAAATTATATTCTTTTTGAATATTTGCCCACATCTAAAGTGGATTTCTATATTTCTACTGTAGTTATGTGTTGATCTTATAGTGGTTATTTTGATATTCAAATCAATGTGGTCAGTTCTATCAATTTTTTGGCCCTTGCTCAGTAGTTTTGTTCAGTGTTGTGTTAATGTCAGATGGCTAAGTTAGTTTATGATCACAGTGACTTCTTTTTGCATACAACATACTATTCTTAACAGGAGCTAGAGTACGAATTACGGAGACAGTCAGGACAGAATGCATCATCTTGCAATTCTGGGTCTGGAAGTGCTTATGTGGGTTTGAGATTAGCTAAAGCAGTTCCAGAGCATAGTGGAACGGAATCACCTCATAATGATGTTCCAAGCACTACCAACGACCTCATTTCCTTACAGGTACAGCTCTTGAGGCATTAGCTTGGTGCCTGATTGGAAGTTTGCTTTTCTTTTGTTAGCAAGTAATAAGTTATCTTTTTGTATGTTTTCAGTCAGTATTCCTTAATTCCCCCTTTTCTCAAAATTTTAGTTGCTTCCTGCATTTTTCTATAGCAGAACACAGTAATACAGTCTGTGAAAAATTATCTAAATTGTTATATTTATTCACAAATGTTTAAAAAATGCACAAAAGATGTAATGTATCTTTAGGTAAAAATTGCTTTCAAGCTTTTACTGTAGTTATTAAAGAAAGAAAACAATTGGACCAATATATGATATGTGCATTGTACATCAGTGTTAGTGCTCCGCTCAGTGCTCTAATATTTTTCCATATGCATGAGGAACCTGAATGCAGCATGTTTTCAATTTTAAAATTGCATTTGCATTTTATCTGTTCACCCTATTTTACTTTTCACTGTAGACAATTTCAGCTCACATTCAACTCACTTTGTTTAGTATAATTACTTGAGCAAGAGGTTCATTTTATGTTTGTGTGTATAAATATATAGAATATTGTAACATTTTAGAATGAAGCCTTAGATGTTGGTGAATTCAAAACCCTTTTGTATGCTTTCTACCAAAAATATCTCCCTTGTGACTAGGGTTTCACGATTTTCACTTTGCTTTTACATTTATGTATTGTTTTTTTCATGGTGTAATTGAATTCAGTCAAAAACTTCTCATAAATTTAATAATAGATACTGTATAGATAAGGACAAAGTAGGGCTCTCCCACTTTTCAGTAACTGGTTGTGATGTGGTCACTTTGCAGGAACAGCCAGAAAATGAGCAGGAGAACAACCTAATGGAACTTTCGACTGGAAGTGGCTCAACAGAGGATCTGGGAGACACTGAAGTTGGTCTTCAGGTAAGAACTGAGTGACATCAATGGGAAGCGGAAATGACAAAGACATTTTGTCATCTACTGAACTGCTTTTAATCAAATGCCATGGTGTTGGTTTCGCTTCCATAGGTCGGTCACAGCCGAAATTTCACTCTTTCACCAGAAACAACAGACTGTGATTCTAACTGTGGTGACTTGGATAGTGAAGTTTCCTTACTTCTCACTGATGGGGACACTCCTGGGATTGCTACTGTGCGTGTCAAAGTATTCTGCATGTAGTCTGTTCGTGTGTGTGTGTGTGCGTGTGCGTGTGCGCGTGCGCGGGTGCGCGTGCGCGTGTGTACGTGTGTGCGTGTGCGTGCAATTTGTAACACTGACGCTTTGGTGGTGTTTCTACATGTGGTGGTTGTTTCAGGGCTTAACTGGAGGTCTAGGCAGTGGACTGTCAAGTGGTCTAGGGGACATAGGGTCTGGCTTACCTGTTGATGCAATGCGCTTGTACTCTAGCATGCCTGTTCTAGAAGATGGTCTTTCATCTGGTCATGCTAGTGATACAGACAACAATAATCCCACTGTGAGGGTTGCAGCTTTATTCCAATTATTATTACTATTATTATTTTACCTCTATTTCCACAACTGTGTTTTTATCATGTGTGTGTTCTACAGGTCATGTTGATGAAACGGCAAATTACTGAAATAGAGAGAGAACTTGGACAGCGGTCAGGACGATCAAAACTAGATGATAGATCAGAACATTCAGAACCCCTGGATCACTTGACTGGGCATATGAATTCAAGTTCTACTAATAATACAAATACAAATAGTGTGTCTACCAGAGACAGAGATCGAGACAGTTCTTACCCAGATCCTGAATTAGAAGCTTTGGACCCTTTAGGTAAACTGACTTTTCATTTTGCAACTCTTCTGATCTCTTTCCCTTTTCTTTTGGTACATTTGTTGGCATTTCTTATCCAGTAAAACTTCTTTCAGCCCAATGGTGTGCAGCTGGTGGCTCTCAGAATACACCACCTCCACCTGCTCCTGCGCCTCATCGTAACCAAGCAGGAAGTACCCCTGACAATGTCTCTCAGAGCTTGCCATGCCGCAGCTCAGTTTCGTCAGTGAATTCCGGAGAAGGTGTTGAAGAAGTCATTAAGGACATTAGATTAGCTATTCAAAGAGCCAAGACTTTGCCTGTCAAATCTGTTGAAAGTGAGCCTCCACAGCCAACAGCCAGCCCAATTTGGGTACCAAGGTAATGAACTTAAAATGAAACTAAAAGAACACAGCATTGATATGAAGTGTTGAGTTGTATTTAAGACTGGGCTTGTCTATAACTTCCTCAATTAAAATTTTGATATTCTACAGAAGAAGAAACTGTGATAACTTACGGAACTCAACTTTGAGTGGTGATGAACATGCAGATGATGGTGAGTTATTGTCATATGGAAGGGATTTTGATTCTACCACAAGATGGAAATGAAACTTATTCTGTAACATTCTTACTAGATGAAGCAGACACCGACCTTGAAACAGATCGATTGCTTGGTCAACTTCGAACGGATGACATTGGTTTTTATGAACCACAAACGGTGAGCATACACTTTTACGTCATACTAAAGTAATCCATGAGTTTGAAAACTCTGTTTCTCTTTGGCTCACTGTGTTTTCTTCTTCAATCCCCATTGTATTCATTCATTCTTTCTTCTGTGCTCCTATTTGCCTTGCAGAAAGGGTGGCGGAAATCTACCAAATCTCGAACCGTTATGCCTTCTTCCCAGTCCTCCTCCTCACTTTCAAAAAATGGTGGATGCTCAGCAACCACCCCTCTTTTAGCACAATCTAAGATATCCTCTCCTCCACACCCATCACTTTCTGTGGCAGCACTTCTGTCACCAACCGTTGACCTCTCTACTCAGCCTTGTGTCCCCACATCAAATTCCATTTCTTCTAATGCAAATTCAAATGATATTGCAACTTCCTCTAATGAACTAACATCCCCAGATAAGACTCCCTCACCCAGGAGTGCTGCGGAGGCCAATGCTGTGGGCAAGAACAAAAAGGTGTGGCCTGTTTTGTGTGACCTTGCATGCGATTTCTTGAATGCACTCTTCTCTTGGCCTCTATTCTTTTTTTAATTGATTCATTCACTAACCATATTACAGTATGTGAGGCATTTGAAGCTGACCAACTCTGTGATGTGAATTTTGATCTCTCATCGTTTGCCTTGCATGTATTTTATTATCAACTCAATTCTTAGCATGTGACGTACAGTTCTGACCTGTGGTCTGTCAAGCTGACAGAAAATTTTACTTCAAAGTTGATTTTTATGTGTGAAAAATCTACTTTTTGTATATTTTCAAGTGTAGTTACTGGTAATTATGTTGTAGGATTTTTAAGTGGAAAAATTTATTGTCATGAAATTCTTTTCTAAGTACAATGAGCGGGTAAATGTTTTGTTAATGGAAAGTTATGTTCTAATCTCTGCTAATGTATCTAAAAATTTTGCTCCCTTCTCATGCTGCCAGCTCCACTGGCGGTTCGGTTCAGTTCTGCGTCCAGGCCGTCAGAGGCCTTGTGTGAGACCTTCAGTTTGCCCCTTTGCTCGACCTAGTGTCTTGAGCAGGCCAATCATGACGAGGTCTTTTGTGAGTCCTCTTTCGCGCCCCATCCAAGGTTCTTTGTACAGACAAAGACTAAGAAGCTCTGCTACATATTGTCAATTATGTTCCGAAGTAAGCAGAGAGAGAGAGAGTATTACCTAAATAGCATTGAAATTTTCCTTTGAGTATACCTGCTTACTTGATTCCCATATTATAGAATAGAATCCTATACTATGAGCTCTCGCAGACATCAATATCATAAAACTTTTGTATAGGTTTTTGAAAGTGAACCACTTTAGCAGTCAAGTGAGGTGATTTCTGCAAAATAACCTTTAAAAAACCTATTTTTATGGTAGATGTAAATACCCAGTTCAGACATCTGTTGTTCTATCTAGATATCTATTCTATCTCTCAATTGAATTCCCCCCTCTATTTACCATAGTTATTGTTTATCATTGTTACGATGTACATCTCAGAATGTAGATGCCTCCCCCTCTTGTTTTGTTTTTAATTTCTCATTGCATTTACAATGCATGCTTTTGCTTTTTTTACACAAAGTAACTGTGCAGTTTTTGACAAATTCTGTTGTGTGTTTATTATACTGTATTTTGTAGTATTTTGAGAGATTTTACGTTGCTTGTTGAAGGAGTACTAATTTTTTTTTCCCTTTGGTGCAGGACAAGGAAACTGGAAAGAAGAAAGGAAGAAACAAAGAGGGTAAGTCAATAGCTTTTGTAGATCTTCATAAGCTGAAGAAACGGAATCTATTAGCATGTCTTGTTCCAATTCCTATACCTTGATTTCTTCTTACCAATTTATTTGTGTCACATTTATTTTATCTTCCTCTCCAAAAAAAATTTCACATTCAAACTAACTCTAAGATGGTACAGGGATGGTTTGATGCATGCAGAATAATGGCTTTGGTTTAATGCTTCTATTTTTGTGTCCTTTTCTTTCTTCCTTGCTCTCTACTTATTGGATAACTATTGTGTAAGTACTAGGTAGTTTGTGATAATGAACACTCCGTTCATTGTTGTATCACTGCAGTAGAGTTTGAAGTCAACTTTTTTTTTTTTTTATCTATCCAGATGGTCGTTGGGATCCTGCAGTATTGATTGAAGGAGTATTATTTCGGGCAAGATATCTAGGTTCCACACAACTTGTCTGTGAGGGGCAACCTACCAAAACAACTCGCATGATGCAAGCAGAAGAAGCAGTATCAAGAATTAAGGTAAATTATTAATCTTTTCCATTATAAAGTTGGTAATCCTATAACCATACCTCTACCATTGATTTCAGACCTTTAAAAGTGCATGTCAATTAGTTCTATGTTGGTTTGTCCTTTTTCAAAACAGGCAGTCTCTGTTTTTTAATTCCTTTCTTTCTACCAATTAGTATATTGCAGTACGTATAAGCTTAGAGTTTGGAATAATCTGTCCATAGTGAAAAGATTTTAAGGGTTTGAGCTGTCAATCTTATGGTTTATTAGTAAATATTACTTACAGCAATGTTGGCTACGGTTTTTTATCTTTGTGGAAAGTGTAGCAGTAATTAGGGTTGTTGGATTGAGTGAATATGACAATCCTGAATACTGTCACTCTTCTGAAACGTTGCTTAAATCGATAAGTACCATCCTACTGTTGGCCAGGTTAAACGAGATACTATTGTGAGCTGAAAAGTTTTTGGTCAGTTCTACAGTTCTATGATTTACTAGCCCAACCCTTGATTTCTTATTCATACCTCTTCTGTATTCAGAAGATTGCACTGAGTCTAACATATCATACTGTACTGTACTAAATTCCACATTTAACCCTCAATGTTTTACCCTACAAGTTAAAGTACTAGTACTTTCAAATACTGTGGCAGCACAGCTGTTAGCAGATGAAATGAAAATCAAAGCATATACAGTTTGATTGGCAGATTTCCTGTTTCTGGTTTTAACTATTTCATCTTTGCTTCTATTTCTATATTGCATGATTGCATGGTGGCATAGTGGCTTACAATATTAAACATACCTTCCAATTTACAACCCCCCCCCCAAAAAAAAAAAAAAAAAAAAAAAAAAAAAAAAAAAAAATGGTACCTTGATTCAAACAAATAGTCAAAAGTTTTCTTGCTCTTTGTTGTATCTAACATGCTGTGAAAAGCTGCATCCTGGTAGGGTTACTTGGTGGGGTTATTTGGGTCGCTTGTTGAGATGTGGTTTGAGAAGGAAACTATCGGACTCAGACATTACAATGTAATTGTATAATTTCTGCTTGTACGACATCACGCCATTTCCATCTCATACCTTAGTTGCCAACACCCTAATTGAGCCAAGCAACCCTAGCAACCTTCATATCTGTACACAACTCTAGACCAAGTGCTGTTCTTCATGTCATTTTCACCAAAAACTTCATAGTGATATTTGTATTTGTATTTCCTAGTTACACCGCTGGGATCCATGTAGAATAGAGCACACTGTTTTCTTTTCACCATCATGTTTCTCATATTTCTTATTATTTTCATAAAGGAAGCCACCCTGTTTAATTCTTATCAAAGATCATCCTATTTATTCTTCCGTATGTAATTATTAATGGATTACTTAAGATTCTCCCAGCCTCAGCTGACTGAGCACTTATTTGGTTTCACGTGGTTCTTTCTACCACTTAATCAGCTAACTGACATTAAAAATACAGCCTCTTGAATGAAAGCGTTTCGTTTTTGTTGCTGTTTATGTCTGCTTTGTAAAATTTAGTGAGAAATTTAATTTGACTGAAAACATTTTATCTACTCTCAAATCCAGCCTTAACAACAACAAAGTGTTTGTTTCAGTACATAAAACTTAACTTTGATTTTATTTATTTTTTATTGTTTTCTAGAAAGTAAAAGAGAATCTATTTTCACACCCCTCTTCCCCCCCCCCTTTTTTTTTTTTTGTTAAATCTGTTAGTATTTTCTTCACTGTTGTGTTTATGTGCCCACCTTAAGAGAGATCTATGCCAACAGCAGCTTTTTTATGAATCTGTAAACACGAATCTATTATTTGATTTTTAAATGTTTTTTTTCAAAGTCTCTTCTTTGCTCTTGCTGTGCAATTTGCCCGCCACTTACCCACCAAACACTGCCAGAGTGTGATTTTATGCACTGAAATGTGTCAATGCTGTGAATAATTTATGTAGTCGTCCAACTCACATTTCCCAGCAAAAAACCATGTTTATAAACATTTCATGTTTGCATGTGTTCCTAGTCTTAAGGTTAACTCAATATTTCTTCCCTGTATTGTGATTCAAGTGACGTGTGTTTATGGAGTGAAATTTACATATTTTAGTGCAGGTTGTGTCCAGTTGTAATTTTCTGTGAAGTTAGTCAAGCCCTTGTCTGGGAGGAAAGAACTCTTCTTTAGTATTCTATAGCTAGAAATCTAACTTTTGGTGAGAGTATTCACTTTGAACCTCTAAAGAAAATAGGCAAAATCATATTCCATCTAGCCTTGGGGCTGCAAATAAAATGTAAGAAATTTGTTGGTAGTGTACATATTCAAAGCTTCATTACATGACAAACACAAACTTTTATTTATACTTGAAAATACATGAAAACTGCTTCTGCTTGCTTGTATTAATTTTATGATTGTTAATTCTATTACTAAAGTTCTATAGAAAGCTGTTAATCAGTTCAACTGCAGTAATAACAATGACAGCTGTTGTTATGTAGTAATACAGATTTTATCTATTTTAAGAGCCACAGAAGAGATCACTTTGTGATAATTAAATTCTGCTTTGTTTTAATTTGCCTCTTTTTGTACATTAAAAAAGAAAAATTGTTACTGTATGTAAACTCCACAGCTGATAATCACTGCAAGAAAATGAAAACAAAGAAAGAAGTAAGATGCACTAACACAAATTTTGTATAATACTCTTAGTTGATAGGTACTAGGCACAAACACCATATAGTATTTATGCACCTTTACTCATGAACACGGACGGTATTTTTTTGTATCACAATATTGTCAATGAGTTAAGCCTATCAACTTCTCATGAGGAATAAAATAATTGTGATTGTGCATGTAAACAAGCACCATCTCATGTGATGTGCACGCTCTCTTGGTAACTTTGGCTTTGTAAATCACACAAACTGGCAATGTGCCACCCGTTAAATCTAAATTTGATCTAAATTTATTTTAATGTAAAGTTTATCAGTTATCCCTCGCCTATTGGCGAGCGGCATGATGCAAGACTTGAGTCTCCCTTCGCTCCGTCCCTTCCCCTCGCCAGGAGGCTGATGAGGTGGTGGTGCTCCTATCGGATCGCAGGGCCAGCAAGGTGAGGTGCTGTTCGACGGCCCTCAGGTCGCTCCGAGGAGAGGGCAGGGCGGGGCTGTGGGTACCCAGGGCCACGAGCTGGTACCCGCCCCCGGCCTGCACGTTGCCCATGGGCCCCACGCCCCGCTCTCCTTGCCGTTGGCGCCCCTCCTGAGGCCGGGACCATCTGGACCCTGCCCGGGACCGGGACCAGCAGCCTCCGGGCCTCTTCCTCCCACCTACTGCGACGTGGACGACCAGCTCTCGCTGCTGGAGGCCGGACAGTGGTCGGGACACCCCCATGGGGGCCTGAGGGTGGTTCCCAGCAACCCACATGTGGACCGGCTGGGCGCCGATGTGCCCCTCCCCGCAGGCACCATATTTCGTCTTATCTTCCTCGGCTCTGTGGAAGTCGAAGAAGAAGGAAACGGTCGAAAACGTCGCAGGAGACTCAAGAAAACCATGGTGGAGGAAGCAGTCACCAAAATCAAGGTTTGTGGACTAAGTGTTCACAATCCAGTTAGGCCACGTGAATGGTTGTGTTTTCGATCACCTTTTTTTATTTTTGTGTTTCACTTAGGTTTGTTTTATTTTAATTGTATAGCTGCTACATCACATTTGACATTTTAAGTCTTTAAGTGGATTTTATTTTGTGACAACTGTCATACAAAATTAAATCTTCTTTATTTGCAAGAGTATTTCTTGCTTGTAAGGTCCTGGCAGTGTTTTGATGTGAGTTAATGGTAATGGTGGAGCCCCCAGAAGTTGTGTCTTTGACCTACATACCTGCTTAACATGTCTCATGATCAGGCCTTGATACGGGTGCACCACATCCTGATGTAAAGAAAATATTAGTGATACAACAAAATGTTTGATGTGTACACTACCTACTTTTTAAATTTCTTCTCAATACATACTTAGTTCTAAATAGTTAACATTGGAATCAGTACATTTTTTGTAAACATGTAGATTAGGGAAACTTTTGGCTTTTGCTTTTGGGGAAATAATGTTTTTTTTCCAGCATGGTCTTACTTGAATTTATTTAAGTTTAATAGATCCTGAAACCCTTTCATGACCAAACCATCCAATTCACTTCATACAATTTATTATTATTCATCACATTATACAAGCTGTAAGGTGTTCTATCTTGTGCTTTCTCTTTAAAATGCATGTCATTAACTTTTTTCATTTGGTTATATTTCGACTGCTCTGAGCAACAAACCTGCATCTACAAATTGTGTTGTCATAACCTTTCACCTCTTAAGCATTGGTAGGTAAGATACCACAGTTTATGATACAGTATTGTTGCTTGGAACTGTCAATTTTTTTAAACTGTGCCTCTTGGTTCTTCTTTTGCCCTTTCTTAAACACATCTCTCTATAATGCTCATAACTATTCTATTTCTGAGCCACAGCTTTTCATGTGCTGCTTATTCCTATCAAAATCAAATTGTTATCACTGCAACAAAAATTATCATTTCATAATCTGTAAAATCTAATACACGCTGCTTCATACTGGTAACAGCTCAGATTCTAATGATCATCAGCTTTTGTTTGCTTCTTAATGTAAACTTTAGAATATTCTCACAACACTTGCTCCTGAAGTCCATTTGCCTTTCATTTGGAAGTTGTGTTTGGTATAATTTTTGATCTCTTGAAAAGTGTTCATAATGTTTTGTTTGTTTTTTCAAAAATAAGTATTTTTTATTTTTTTTGAAACCTATGTGTCAACCATATTGTTTTGTGTTACAAATACTGAATTAACCCGCTGTTTGTTTCTCTTTTCTGGCTGCTATCTGCTCCTGTAGGCTTTGGTAAGTCTGCGTATCTTTGCAATATTCAAAGCTTCATTACATGACAAACACAAACTTTTATTTATACTTGAAAATACATGAAAACTGCTTCTGCTTGCTTGTATTAATTTTATGATTGTTAATTCTAT